TCTAATTCACGTTACGTTATGTGTAACGATCGGATGCAAATTTTCAGTTTGGATGGCTGACAGCAACCCTCGAATTCCAGAGTTGCGGGGGCGAGCACGTCCCGCGATTTTGCCAGCTATATCTGCAGGAAACTCGATTACACGGTGGAAGGATGCTCACGGTCCACAATGCTCATTGAATTTGTCGAATAGGAATTATATATTGCGAGGGGGTTCGATTCGTTTGTTCGTGGGCGCCCGCGCTTTCGGAGGAGATCCGGTCGCGCGCGGGTGAGACGCGAATGCATTATAATAAAATCGCGATCACGATCGGCCGCGCGAGAACGAACGGAATGGCGAGCGAAAAAGGAGGAACTTGCCGGGAGCGGCGCGTGAATCGATCGGCGCATTATATTCGGATAAAATGATTTCATCGATCGTAAATGCACCGGCGCGACGCCAAGCTTATGAACGCTCAGATTTATATCCGCTCGCACGATCGCGCGAGCTCGAGCGGCGAGTTTTTTCTGCTGGTGCAACAAAATTGTTTTGAGAAAAGTGGACGTACGAAGGTTCGGGGAGAGAGGTCAATGCCCCGTAAAATTTTATAACTCTACCGCCGAGAGAAAAGGAGACGGGTAATGTCCCAGAACAAGACGTTGATTGGCTTTTTTATGCTCGGTTAGACATGTCAGATAATTTGAAACAGATCGAGTTGAAAGTAGTATAGCACTTATAAATCACAAAAAAAAATAATTCTTTTAAAGAGAAACGAAAAAAAAAAAAAATTGAAAAAAATTCTATAATTGAAATAACACGATTTTTTGTACAAACAATTGTTGTGTTATTTATGCGATGGCAGATTCTAGACGCGAAACATGAAACGATGCATGTCTACTGATATTTTATCTATACAACCGATTTCTAATAAGTATATATTTTATGGAATGCCTATGACGGCTGTTTTCTCTGATACAACGGTGATTCGCATTAATGAGACTAGTCCGTGGTAATTCGCTACACGGGTAAAAATTGATTACCGATTGGATTGCGAGGTCAGATCCTCATTAACTGCGTTCCCGGTGCAGGAAGGGATAATTACGCAAATAACCTAACGCTGTAGGTCTCACGTAGCGCGGTTCAATCCGATAAAAATAATTACACCGTGATTACTCCACTCGATATATTGATTGAAATTCTCATTAGATACATGTGTTAAGCAACGAATCTCCACGAACTCAGCAATAATAATAAATTTTGATAACGTAACGATTAGTAATAATGCAACGCTATTCTCTTAAAGCATCTCATATATTTCAATCTCTCTCCTTCCTCTCTCGTCGATGGAAATTATATCTCACCTCTCGCGCACTCGTTCGATTTCTAATTAAAACGGACCTTTTATGGCAACTCACCTGCCTATCCCTCGCAATATTTTCTAACGCGTAATCATTACGAGGCTACCTTTTCGATTTCCCGTAATGCGACGCGAACGCCGAGGCCTCGCATTAGCGTGTGCCAGTATAGTACGGCGGCGAAATTGATTACCAATACTACTGCGAGTACGACGGCGGCTCTCGCGCTCCCGTGTCCGGGCAGTAATGATGTTTTGATGCGAGGACCCCGGTGCACTGGGTATCGACTGCAGTTAACTAATGGAACCTCCCCGATAATTGCGAATGCCGTCGGAGAGTAAATGCTGCTAGCGCGACAGTAATCATCGTTACTCCGTTCACGCACTCGCGCAACGATGAGGGAGGTTCTTCTCACACGCGCTTTTTGCTTCTCGCCGTGTCATTCCGAAAAGATTCTCTAGATAAATATCGCGAGTATACATATCTTCCTTGCAAGAAAATTATTTTCTTTTTTTTTTTTGCGCCAGAGATGCTCGATGGTTAATGAGACTCATTATGTCAGTTAAAAAAAGATTGTAGCGAAAGAAGCAGTGGAGAAACGAAGTATAACTTTTTTAAATATAAAGAGATAGATATTGCAAGATTATTGTTGCGATACAAATTTGTTGTTTGATTATTTGCACATTTTAAACAAAAATTTTTTGATTTTTTGGAGGAGAAATTGTAGAAAATGTTTTATGGCGAGCGTAAGTCAAGTCCGGAGCCTCTTACTATCATCCTTAAAATGTCTCTTCCGAAACGCCATACGAGATCGAGTCAATATATGCTGTGTGTATCGCGCGTATAAGCAAATACAAGCACATTATTCATGTATGCGCCCGAAGTGCACTAAATTTAGTCACGGCACGGGAGGTCATGTGGGAGACACGCGCGCCCCAACCCGGCGCTGCGTTTTATGCCTTTTTCTCGCAGAAATGTGTCATATGTCGTTGGTTCCCCCTTTTCTCGTAAAAAGTAACGGCGATACCGAGGTAAGCCCGGAACGTCAGCGATTTGTCAATAATTCTCGCGCGTTGCCCTTCGAAATTCCGTTTGAAACTCACCGGCGATTTCCGAGGCGCTCATTCAATTCGTTCGCTCGGCTCTTGATTTACTTTGCCAGTTATTAATGGTTTTTCATTTCGAAATGACGATGAAAAAGAACTTACACGTTTTATTAGAAAGTGAAAAGAATGAAAAGAAAATATTTTTTAGTTTTCTATCAGAAGTGTAAAAACAAATGTCGTATATTTGTATAGTTTCTGTTTCAAAATAATCGATTTAATAATATCTCATTTTACGCAAAGTTAAAATAATCGCGCGAATGGCGATGATGAAGCAGTCCTGCTGCTCGTTCTCCACCCTTCCGTACATCGAAACGCGTTCAAGCTTTCCCAGCTACAGGTCCGTTTTACAATGTGTTGCGAGAGAGTGCCCCTCCCTCCTTCAGAGATTCATAATCAAAACTGCATTAAAATCCTGAAAGCCCTGACGATGGCGCGACGAAAAGTGTTTTGTCATCTGGGGTGACTCGGCAACCACCACGATAACAATATGCTCACCTCGTTTGCGATCCCTCTCGTTGCCACGAGAAGCGTACTCCTCCCCTACCCGTTCACGATTCGCGATCGATTAAGTGACGATTATTTCATCGACGCGTATATAGTATATATATTCTCGTGCCTTATGCTAATGAATATCTTAGTGTTCTCAAATATCGAGAATATGCATCGACAGTTTTTTCACATTAAAATTTTTATCGCTTTTCCGCTAGAAAAGATTCATTAACGGAAAACAAAGTTATTATAATTTTATCATAATAAGATGATTTAAATTCTGAATTTTGTTATATAACATTCTTATTAAATGTAAGAAAGAAATATGCGTAAAATTATACGTAAAAAAGACTTTATCACATCGTCGCAACGTGGCTGGCTTAAGTTTCTGTCGGCGAAGATATTTTCGTTTATTTTCGCCAGGGTCGAACTCTTCGAGAGAGAGTTTGGGCAGTCGCTCACCGTTTTCGTCCCTCTCTGCACATTTCTGTTCTTCTCTGTCCCTCTCTGTCTCTCTCTCTCTCTTTCTCTTTCTCTCGCTTCGGTTAGGGGTTGGCGCGCCATTGTGGTGGTCGGCAGTAGTCAGCTGGCTGTGACACGCTGCCTACCTCGCCAAAGAGGAACCAGAGGCGCTTAGGAGTATCCGGGGGCTAGTGAGAGGGGGTCCCTCGGCTTCATACTCGCGCGGTGATACTCTTTCATCTAACGATAACCGAGGCCTTGACTTTGAACTATCGTCGCATTGTATATCTGTGCATTACAAAGCTTTGTTCTATGCATATTATTACTGTATATTTTGTATCTTATTATGTTGATTGCTTTTGCGTGATCGCTTTGCGTGACTTTTGGCTGAATAAATAAGGAAATATTCTCTTCTTTGTATTTTCAGGAAAAAAAGTTTTAAGTAGAGTTGAAAGAATTTACAATTCTTCTTTTATTAGAACGCTGTTTTATAACTCGATAATCATTATTGAATACGAAATTACTATATCACGGTATAAAATCTAGAGTCATTTACCGCACTCTCTTAGATATCCATTCTCGATCCGTGTTATCAGAATTCATGACTATTTGTACGCCTTCGTGCGCGCGTACACTAATCGCTTGCGAAGAGTCCTTTGCCACCCAGTCAGTCGGACAAAGTTCCTTTGACTTACGGCGACTTGCCGAACGACTTTGCGGGCACCGTCTGCGCCTTGACTGCGACAATAGTGCCGCATGAGCATCCGAGCGGCGAGAGCGAGACGCGATGAGAGTTTAATAATTATTATTCATAAGACTCTCCGGTGGGAGTCGGCCAGGCGTGAGACTAAGCAAGAAAGATGTGCTGCAAAACAAGAGAGGGTGCCATCGCTTCCTCGGGGGCTTGCTTATGTCCTCCTTATCCCTGGCGGAGAAGCGGAGTATTCCACGGCGGGAAGGGGGTGTGCTCGAGTCAGTCGAGCAGAAACCCAATCACTTCCGGCGTCTGCGCCCATTAGGGCGCCGCGACGCTGACGTCGGCTGACGTACGCCCTTCCTCGCCGCATCCCACTCGCTCGTCCTGTACTCTCTCTCGCTCTTCCTATAACATCGTTCCTCCCTGCCTGTTCCTATCTCACACTGTATTGAACCCACCCACCCTCTTGGATCTCGACCAACATCGAAACAGACCGCAGATCTATTGTTTGGAAAGCGCTCACATGGAAGCTTCTTCAACGCGACTAATGACGTATCAAGGATGCCGCTTCCTGCTTGCCGGATTTTTCCGATTTTGCTCGTTCATCTCTCGAACTAGTTGCCGTCCACTTTTTTTATTGTTACCAAGATAGCGGATCGTGTCAAATAAAGATGTCTGGATAGAAGAATATCAATGATTATAACGTGTAAAATACGAAGGCGACAAAAAGTCTTTAAAATTCTCGCAAAATGACAATAAAAATATCTAATAAAAAAATAAACTTTGCTTTTTATATACGAAAAAATTTATAATATATAAGACAATCGAACGATTATAAAACTATATTTTGCCTTGCATTACAAATATCAAATAAATCGATTATTTTATTAATTCTTTTCATTTGTGTTTCAGGTTTATCAATGCGAGGCGTAGAATCGTTCAACCAATGATTGACCAGAGTAATCGAGCTGGTAAGATGATTCCAATTTTGTTAACAGATATTTACACACACAATTACAATACTACGAACATGTGTTACAGATGAAATAACCGATGTGCCATTTGCCAAGGATTTATTTCATGTTTATAGACATATTTTTGCTTCGAATTATCAAAGTTAGTAACTTAAATTTTATGAATTAACGTAGTGATTGTTATATGCAAAATGCTGTAGTTTTCTTGTTACTAAAGAATAAGTGTTGACAAGTCTTTGTGGATATATAAAAATAATTCGTTATTAAAATTTTTTCAATATGATAAAATTTTAACTTTTTACGAAAATTGGATGTTATATTCAATGTGATTTAATGTATCAAAGTGGGAATTAGATATTACGATTAGAAAACTTGATTTTTAAATGTTGTAAATTCCATAACAAACTAAACAGTAGAAAAATCTAATACATTCATTGTTTACTAGATAGATATATTAATATATAATACAATTTTGTGCAAGTTTAAAATTATCAAATCATGTCTAAAAATAATTCATTTAAAAATATTTTTGTATAATTGTCCAATTATATGTCTGTCTTTCAATTTAATTCAATTCAGTTCACTTTTTGTAATTAATATAAAGGTGATATATAATATTATATGTTTAGATAAGGTGTAAGGTCCGTAATAGTTTCCTAATTACGTATATCAAAGCTAGCATGGAAACTTAATCAACAATTGACGTTTTACAAATAGCGTATTTAGTGTAATGCTGTGCATCCGTGTTGTTTTTAATTTCTGATATAACGGATATTCGATCTTCGTGCAATTTTGGATATTCTTGAAATCATTCTTCAATAAACGAGATATTTCATTCGAATGAAATCTGTGGC